TTGGTTAATTTAATTAAATAATATTTATATTCTTTATTTAATTTTAATAATTTCTTTTTGTTTAAATATTTTATATATGTAATTAAATAAAGAATTTGAAATTGATAATTACTAAAATGAAATATTATTTGTCAACGAATTAGCAAATTCTTTTTTCCCTTTTTAATTTTTTAATTAAAATTTCATTGCAAACAAATATTTATTTTTTTCAAATTTAATTAAATAACATATATATTCTTTATTTAATTTTAATATTTCCTTTTGTTTGAATTTTTTATTTATATAATTAAATAAAGAATTTGAAATTGATAATTACTAAAATGAAATATTCTTTTTAGAATTAGCATATATATATATATATATAGAATTTTAAATTGATAATTACTAAAATTAAATATTATTTTTTATTTTATTTTCCTTTTATTTTCCTTTAATTAAGCAATATTTATTTTTGATTTGATTTATTTCAATTTTAATTTAAAAAACTTTATAGAAACTTTTTTGTTTCTTTTTTGTCCATAATTCATTTAATTTTTTATTAGCATCAGTGTAAAATAAATATATCAGTGAATCGAAATCTCAATTGAATCACAAGTAACCTTCATAGGTGGAATCAGAATAGATGGATTATCTTTGAATTGAAATTTCAATTTCGTATTGTACTGAGAAGGGTCAACATTCAGCTGATTTTGTAAATCATGGCACACTCTCGCATATGTTGTACTCTCCGTTATGGAAATTGAAATACCACCACGTTTATCGCTTGTCCATATTCATACCATTGATCTTTCTCATTCAATTCGAAATCACCAAAGAAATAAATTGGCATTATAACCATATCTGCAAGACGAACATAATTTTTTAAAGAAAATAAATAGTCGAATTTGACTTTTAACAAGAATTTATAAAAAATATATTTAAATAAAAAATAGGTGAAACAGCCGAAATGATCGGTTGTTAATAGCCGACTGTTTCAGCTATTAATAGCCGAAACAGCTGGTTTAACAAACAGTCAGTTGGTTGTTTAAATAATCGTCCGGTTGTTTTTCACCAGATCAATTTCGTTTGAAAGATGTAGATGAATTTTTTTCTTCTTCATGTTTTAAAAAATTATAGATATATTAAAAAAAATATCTACATTAACTATCTACGTCGAAATAAATTTAACGATTAAAACATATTCAGATTTAACGAAAACGAAATTAAATATGTGTAAATATACCTACCGATTCGAAGTGATTGATATAAAAAAAAATTTCGGCTTCAGCGTTCGATAAAATTTTCAGATTTTAAGGTTGAAACAGATGAAATATGAGAGTTTTTATTTGTGTTAAAATAAACAGATAACAAAAGTTAGCTGATTTTGAAATTTTAGGTAGGGAGTGTTTGGTTTTTATTTGTTAACCAAAGAGTAGTATTGTCTTTTAAACAAAATAATATTTTGTAATTGTTTTGTATACTTAATGGCGTTTTTGTTTTTTTTTCCATCAAATAGGTCATTGTGAAAATATAAAGAGTTGAAAAGTCAAAATAAAAATTAAACAGTTTGACCTGGTCAATTTTAGAAGTACCCCCACTAAAGATCCATATTATTAATAATTTCTTGAAATTTTCTATATTATGATGGAAAACTCATACAATATTATCAAATATCAATGTCGTAATTTGTATAGTGCTATCGACTGATTGGGCAAGAAACTCGTCGACTAGGGTCCTTGAATAGGTTGAATAAAAAAGCAGGTCAACCAGTATTTTTTTTATAAACTCGTCGGACAGATTGACAAGTTTTGACTCTGTTTTAAAAAAATTCTTTGGAATTTTAGGTCTAGGGTTGGACCTCCATGTAATAAGAATGGCCTACAACGGGAACCAACAACACTTTGTTGTCATTTGTATAATCAATCTTGTTACATATATATCTTGGTTTACACTATAACTTATTGAATTTATATTCGACACAATCTCTCACCGCCTTTCACATCTCATACATTTAATCCAATCATCACAATTTTGCCACGTCACCCAACTATCAACAAGAGTGTCAAACTTAATGTACAAATAACTTAATTATTTATGTAATAAGCTATATCTAAGGCATTAATCATTTACTGCTTTATTAAAAAAGTTTAATAGCAGAAAACCCCTATAAACGTTTCAATTTGCGATATACCTCGTACCTATTGGAAATCGCAGAAAATCCCCATGTTTGAAACATTTTATGCCAAAAAAAAAAAACCCATATCGTCAACATTCGTCAAATTTGCTGTTAAAAAGAGTAAAAAATACCAAAATATCAAAGGTAAAAAATAAAATAAAGTTTTAAAAATTTGGAATTGTGGTTGGCACATATAAAACATTTGATTTAATTTGTAAAAAAAAGTAAAAGTTTGGGTATTGAAATTGCAATTTTCCCTTTTAAATTTTGGTATTTTTTACTCTTTTTTACAGCAAATTTGACGAATGTTGACGATATGGGGGGTTTTTTTTTTTTTGGCATAAAATGTTTTGAACATGGGGGTTTTATGTGATTTCCAATAGGTATGGGGGTATATCGCAAATTGAAATATTTTTAGGGGGTTTTCTGCTATAATCCTATTAAAAATAATGTATAAAATTACAGTCTAACATTTTACTTTATTTTATAATACCAAATAATTATACTTAATATGTAAGAAAACGTTAATTTTAATTAAGGAAAATTGTAGCAGCTGTCCCAAACCTTTCCATTTTTGCAGACTTTACCCTAAACTTTGTTTTGTGCCGCAAAGTCTCAAACCTTTCAAAAAATATGCATCGGAGGTCCAAATGAATGGTTGACCGTTAGTTGACTGATCAAATTGATTTTAACCAATTTTAGTAAGGGAAAATGGTAATTTTGCATTTTATATATTTTCCAAATATTATTAACAATTAAACTAAAAACAAAAAGAAAATATGCCCCACCCCCACGCCCACGCCATCTTCACCTTTAACTCCGGCCAGCCACCACCCAAACCGTTGGACATACATACCACTAGAGAGCCCTCATCACCATCTACAACTTCCACCCAACGCCCTGCCTCGAACCAACCTGAACTTGTCGGAAAAGTGAGTCAAAATGCACTCAAGTCCCCCAAAAATGGCCGAAATCTCCAATTTCAGCAACACCCATGTCATGCCCAACATTCCAAGTAATTATACACATTAAGGCGTCACTGTCCATGGTCATCAATCATCCTTAAA